GAGGTAATGCATATGTTAATTAGCGTGATTTGGCCATTCCACAATGTATCCATGTATCAAAACCCATCATGCTGTACAGCATTAATGTATACAATTTTTATTTGACAACTTAATTACTTTTAAAAGATACTTTATAGATGTAATTGAAGTTATTCCAAAATTATCCTGGATTTCAGGATGGTCACAATCTATCATATGATTTCTTAAAATCAGAGAACATTTCCTGGCCATAGTCCCATACACGTACAGAGGTGTATGATGGAAGAAAGGTCACAGAGATTTAGCATTGCTGGCTTTGAAAAATGGAGGAAGGGGGCATTAATAAAGGAACGTGGACACCTCTAGCATCTGGAAAAACTAAGGAAAGAGGTTCTCCCCTACAGCCTTCAAAGAGAAATGCAGCACTGCTGACACCTTGATTTTAGCCTAGTGAGACCCATGTCAGACTCCTGATCTGTAGAACTCTAATATGATACATTTGTGCTGTTTCAGCCACTAAGTTTGTGATACTCTCTTACAGTAGCAATAGAAAATGAATAAGAATGCTAAGCATTTAATTTCCATTTATCACCCCTTGCTAGCGAGAAACATAAAAGGGTTCTTTGTATCAAAGCATTCAGTAAAGAATAAGCTAGTTTTAATTTTTCTACAGATAAAGCACATTCTAAAAGACTTTCTAGAGCCTGTTTCTCATTCAAAATATGTAGTGTTTTTATTATATTATAACTCAAAATTAACAACTTTTCTTCCACAACTAAATTGTAGACACCGTCTTCTTACATAAATCCCATGAATCTTTCCTATGGGAGACATAAGAGTACAGATTTTCCATCTCTCTCTAGAATTTATGAGGTTTTACCCAAATGAATGTATTAAGTTTTTCTATATGATGTCTCTCTCAATCTTCAGAACAGTCTAATATTGATCATTCAAAAGATCCAATTTGATCTCTGATCAATAAAATCTGATGGGCTAATATGGACTTGGTTGCCCTGATGTGCATTCCCACAAACAGACTCTGAGACAAGGATTTACGTGCAAGTAGTTCATGGGGAGATATTTTCCGGAATCATGGATAAGTAAAACCTGGAAGGGAGGAAAACCTAATAATGGGTGTTTTTATAAGAGGGTTACTACTGAGGGCAATAGAGCCCCAGTCCCACTGAGAACTCTCCAGAGGCTGTGAACATGCCTCAGAATTGTCCCATAAAGAAGAAAATAACATGGGGTGTTTATCCACCAACTTATATCCCTTGTTGGCTGTGAGTTGCTCTCAAGGATGTGAATTTCCCAGCACACCTGGCCCACACTGCAGGAGCAGAGAATACCCCGTGGTCAGAGAACCTACCTGGGCATAGAAACGCAGAAAACAGCTGACACCGTGTATCAGGGACCTCCAAGCTAAGTCAAAAGGATATGAATGAGGGACTGACTGTGTCAGTATGATCTATTTCAGGGCAAAGGTATGTGATGTTAAATATGTACTACGCATGGATTTTCCAATCCCAACAGTGTGCAAAACCCAAAAGTGTGAAAACTAAAATTAACTTGATCTTGATTAAGAGTTATAATTTCCACCTAATGTCAGATAAATTGACATGATCACTTTCTGGGTTTACTCAGATAATTTTCATGACTTATTGGTCAGTTCAAATTTAATATTAGGTCACATGCAGCTGGCCGCCTTAGATCATCATGTTTACGATGTAAACCTACTCGTGAGAAAATCTATGGAAACGAATTGTCTCTACCATGAGGATTTTTCCAGACTGAACTCTTTGGGAAATTTAAGTACTTCCATGTAGACTTATTAGTAGATATTGACATGTCATTAGTTATTTGTACCTATTTAATATATTGCAAATTTGTAATAGATCAAAAAGACAAATAAAGCATTTTTATTCATTATTTGGCCAATCCAATGAAATCTCCCAAATAGTAACAGATTCTGTTATTTCTTTTCTTGGTGGTTGATGGTTCTCAAGTCAACAGCTGAAGGAGAGGTGTGTCATGGTATAAGGAAAGGGCCTCACTTAGACCCAGACGTTCTTGAGTTCATGACCCACTTCTACCACATGTTATTCTGTGGCTTTGGAAAAGTCACTTAATCTGTTGAAAATTTAGTTTTGCATGAGCATCACTCTCCATTACATGGGTAAAAATTGAGTCACTGAGAATGAACAGATTTCTGTGCACTGTACAATTCTAACAGTTTATTCTGCTCATATCCTCCCATTTTTGCCAACTTTCTATCCCCAAGTTGTTCCAAGAGCTTTCCACAACACATTGCCAAGTCTCTGACCTTCCCTTTCTTGCCTATCCTCATTCTGTTATCTCCCTTTTCGGCTGCTTCATTAAGAGAGGAGCTGATAATCTGGCATCGGGGCAAAACCATTACTTTGGAGAACACCACAAGGCCATTGCTAATTTTATCTTTGCCTTTAATGTACTAACGGGAAGATTTATTTTTACCTTTAATAGTAAGATATCCTAAGTCGAAGGCATGTGGGTACAGTTAAGTCTTAGTTCTATGAAGGTAGAGACTAGGTATGTTTTATTCCTTGTGATATCCAAGGACTCAGCAAATACAGAGTACTTATTCAAACATTTGTTGAGGTTACTAGTTGATCCAAAATGTATTTAGTTGTTCAGAGATGCCAAATCTTGCTCAATATTAAGTCTGTGTTTTAGTATCGATCCAAACCTTAAACCTAAACCTACCACTCACTCCAACAGAACTCCTCTCTTATTTTAAGTGGAGATGGTATGAAGCAACGAGTCACCACTGACTATACATACCAGCAGTGCCTGATGCCAAATGGTTAGTGTGTTAACGTAATTTTGTGTACACAACAATGCACACATTCCAATATGGTTAAGTAAAATAGAAAAGTTTCAAGAGTGAGAGCACGTAGTAGATACTTCTCGGAAATCTATGTGTGATTACCTAACCTTAGCAATCGCAATTAGGGGAAGGAAAATGAGAAAGCAGAATTCAGCTGTATTTGAGATTTATTTTATATAGGCCTTTTGTCCCTTATAAAAAGAAAACTTGAAAAAGAAGGAGAAAAAGAAGAGGAGGGTGGAGGAGGAAAGCGAAAAGGAGAAACATGAAAAGAGGAAAGAGAGAAGAAGAAAAGAAAGAAAAGAGACATCTAACATTAAAAAGTTTATTTCAAAATCTTTATTTAAAAAATGCTTTGCACAGGGCAATAGAGCTCAGGGAGAACAATGCCCTCTCTTCGACTTGTATTTCTAAGTAATGTAAGACAGTTGGGCCAACAATCGTGCTCCCCTCTACCTCTTCATCTCTCCATTTCCTAAATCTTAGAAGAAAATACACCTACAAGAGTTTAGCCCCCGAATCCAGTGAAACAGCCATGGAAGGGAGAGACCAGTAAAAATCTACTTCTACTTTGATGGTAAAGGTTGAGAGAAATGCGATCAAATGTTTGAACTTGAGACACAAACCGGGCTGAACACACTTGGTATTAACTCCGTCTCTTCCCTTGGCCTCAGGCCTTATCTTATTCCTCTAGCATTCCTTGGGATGGGAAAGGCAGGTACCTTCATATGCAAATCATGGTTAGAAGCATTAGCATATCCACCTCCAAAAACCACATTATTCTGGAGTAGAACTGAACCCTGTCCAAGGGAGCTGAGGTACAGGACATGAGGCTCTGGAAACAGGGGCCATTTCTGTTTTTTTGTTTGTGTATGTGTGTTTGATTGTTTGTTTTTGTCTACTGCACCAATAAATTGGTTTCTTTTTTTTCTTTTTTTAGACAGAGTATCGCTCTGTCACCCAGGCTGGAGTGCAGTGGCACGATCTCGGGTCACTGCAAACTCTGCCTCCCAGGTTCACGCCATTCTCTTGCCTCAGCCTACTGAGTAGCTGGGACTATAGGCACTCACCACCGCACCTGGCTAATTTTTTGTATTTTTAGGCGAGACTGGGCTTCACCATGTTAGCCAGGATGGTCTCGATCTCCTGACCTCATGATCTGCCCTCCTTGGCCTCCCGAAGTGCTAGGATTACAGGTGTGAGCCACCGCACCCAGCCAAATTGGTTTCTTTTCTTAGATTCTGATGCTAAAGAAGTCTTGACTCAGGAAAACCACAAGGGTGGGCTTGGGAAGACTCAGCAGGTTGTAATGACTCTCCAGCAAATCATGTCACCATGCCATTTGATGATGATAGGAAGAAAGAGCTTTGAAGATTCATGCATTGAGAGAATACGAGTTAATGAGTAAACCAGACGTGTTTCAGGACTGGGACCCAGCAGTCACCAACCACCTCACACCTGCATTGGTAGCAAACCCGAGCTACGTCATAATTTTCGTTCCACCTCAGCAGATATTTTATAGGTGGAAAAACTGAGCCATAAAGTGAGTAAATGCCTCCCCCAAGGTCACAAGGTAAAGACAATGCAGTCACCAAATATTCTGTCTCCCCAACATCTGTCTTACTGGAATTCTTGATGGGTCGGTACCCCCTTATTATAGTACTGATTTTAACATAGGTGGGTTTTGAATACTGGCTTTTAAAAAATCTTTTCAAATCATTTGTAAATTATGGAAATGTATACATCATATGAAACTTACCATTTTAATCATTTTTAAGTGTACAGTTTAGTGGCATTAAGTACGTTCACCTTGTTGTGCAGTGATCCATCACTATACCTTTTTCAACTGCTCCAACTGAAACTCTGCACTCATTAAACAATAACTTCCCTTTCCCTCATCCCTCCAGCCCCTGGCAACCACCTCTGAATGTTATTTTATAGCAAAAAGAAATATTAACTTTTGAGCTTGGTTTATAACCAAAAACCACAATTACATGCAGGAGAGAGGGGGTGGGAAAAAGAGGTTAACTCAGAACTCAGTGTACTTACAAGACTCTGTGAGTGTGCTGTGTGTGTGTGTCTTTAAAAGACTCTCCACCTCCCAGCCCGCCTCCTCACACTTTGCCACTGGGTTGTTCAGTCCCCAGGTTCCCTCAGTCCTCAGAAGGAGCCAGCATGGACAATCTCCTTTATAGTTTTGGAAGCAGGTTTGTTGCCATGGAGTTCACATTTTGACTGGAGTTGAGAAGTATAAAGGTAACCGTTTGTTTTAGTTTCAACGATCTGGCAAAAAGATAGGCTGTTGCTCTTCTTCTGGAAAAGCCTGATTGGTAAGATTCCTTTAAGGGCTCAGCCCCAAAGAGCTTTATCCCATCCCCTCACAGACTAAAAACTAAAGCTTGCAGAGACCTCTGAAGGAAAACCTGTCCCGGGCTCTGTCACTTCACACCCATGGCTAACCCTGGAGGTGGTACTGTTTGCAATGGGAAACTTCACAATCACAAGAAACAGAGCAATGGCCTGCAAAGCAGAAACTGCACAAAGAATGGAATAGTGAAAGAAGCCCAGGTAAGAGGCACTCTCCCCTACTCTTCTCTGAATTACCTGAACATTTCAATATTTCTCTGTGAAGATATTTGGGACTGTCCTAACTTAAAGTTCATCTTATGAAGTGTTTTTATGTGTTTTGACTGTTGATTCCTTTAATAGAAAGTGCTTGGCTACCAAAAAGTTTAGGTGTGGATTAAGGAGAAAATGTCTTCTGAATGCAAAAGAGGATACACACAGACACTCACACAGCTTTAGGCTCCCTAAAATACAAATGTACCTACTAGACTTTTGTCTCAAGCATTTTGTGGGGAGGGAAGAATTACGAAGGCTCCAACTCTTTGCATATGTTTTAGTCCAAGAGACCTGCTACAACTATCATGCTTCAGAAGAAAAAGAGGAAGTGAAAGTACATTTTGCTGACATTATGTGGTGGAGATGGCATTCTTCCCAGGTCCATGAGAAATGCATCTCTCTTTGAAAGGCGAGTTGTTATTGGTGTTTAGTGGAGCATTGTTATAGCTCACTACTTGATTTGAGGCTACAGTATTTCTTTGAAATGTGACGTCACAGACATTCTTTTCCAAACACTTCAGAAAGCATGGCTCATTGTGATACGCTGCACTCAGAAAACAGAACAGCATCTTTAAAACAAACTTGTAACTTGGCCCTTTTTTTTTTTCTCTTATTGCACCAGGATGTTTGCAGAATATACTAGGCAGGAGGAACTCAAGGAAAGTTGTCAGCTTATTTTAAGAGAGAGCCTGGGTCTGTGAGGTCCTTATGTAAGGCAGTTCCCCACTCCCCACAGGACACCCCGTGTCACTCTGCTCTGAGCAGCAGGGGGTGAGCTCATCTGCCCCAGGAGCAAGCCCAAGCAGTCAAACAGGTAGCCTCCTATTGGGAAAGAGAAGTGGCCATGCAATCTTCCATCATTTGATCATCCGGAGAGCACGTATCCACCCACAGGAAAGGCAGATTGTTCTAAGATCACAGGCCAGGTGGGTCTGGCTGGGGCCAATCCTCCACTGAGTGAATTACATTCACGTGTGCAGTTGGAAGAGGCTAAAGGAGCTCTGGAGCCTAAGTTGTATGTAAACAGGCTGTGGTCCCCAAAAGCATTCCCCTCTTAACAAAAGGCACTGTCCAATCCTGGGATATGTCTATCTGAAACCTCAAAACTGACCTGTCCCAGCTGAGGATCTGAAAACTGGAGCAACATGAAGAGAAGGTGCTCAGCTCCTATCAGTTGCATGAAGGAAATTGCAGTAATATCCACCACTTATGCATCACTAAATACCAATTCAGGCCACTATTCAAGATGATCCTTGCCTCTGGAATGCCTGTAACTCACAGGCTATTCACCTACTTACCCTGTTGATCATTCTGACCCTGAGGGATCTCATCTGGGAAGAGATTCCTTCATAACTTTTCTCCCTTTTATTTATTTTATCTTGGTTTTATAATCACATTCGAGGTATGAGATTAGAAACTTAGACAGTTAAAACCACTCCTAAGTAAGGATAAAATCCAGGATTCTAAAGGTTCATTATGAAGTGCAGCTGCAAGACTGTAAATATCCTTGGACACTGAGGCTTCCCTAAGAATAGTCGAAAACATCAGGGCTGCTGTTGCCTTCCTGAAGGGCTATCCAGAGCCTCTTGTCTCAGACGCATTTAGGTGTCACTAAGCTACAATTGGCTTTCATTGAGAGCCTCAATTATGGCTTGAAAAATATTTTTCAGGAAAACAAACAAAAAAAACCCCGGCTGAGATCATAGTGTAATAGAGCAAACGAGAGCTTATCGTCCCCTCCATGATGGGAACAAAGTTGTCTTTACTCTCATGTTCCTTTGCCACTAGTTTTGATCCTTGGGGCCCTTTAACAAACTAGGTCTAGACCAAAAGCCTTGCCTGTGGATAGAAGCAGTCTGCAAAGGCTTACAGAATCCTAGGCTGCTGGTCTCCCAAACACGTTCTGCCTGGCCTAAGGTCCTCTGCTGCAGCATCTAAGATCCTACCAGCCCCTCCAATGATCCTCCCACCCTTTCTCTTCCCACTTATTTGCAGCCACACAGCAACACTGTTATCTCTTTTATACATCAGAGGATCCTACAAGATTCTGTTGACAAAGAGTTCCCTGGCATAACAAACAATATGAAAATTACTATTAGGCAGTGCTCAGGAGTCCTCTTTCCCTCTGGTCCAGCATAGGCTGCCATCCCTGCTCCAGCATGCAGGTTTGCTGCCCCAGTCTCAAAGCTGGCAAGAACCAGAGCCTTTCCAGTCTAGCAACCTTCTAGAGTTCCTTTCTGGAGATTTTATGGAGCTTGACTATTTTTCCTGTTTTTTTTTTTTCTTTTTCTTTAAACCTCGTATGTTCTGAGAATGCACAAAAACTGGTTTTCATCACTGATTAAGTCCATTTACTTGTTTATTCCCAATATGGCCTCCTACCTTTTACTTCTAACAGAAGACTATTGTACTAGAGGATTTGTTCTCCCTCCTCATGAGCATATCCACACTACAGACAGATGGGTGCTCACTGTCTTACTTTATAAACTTAATATTTCTTATAATTTTTATTGAATCAAAATTTTTCCTAATGAATAGAAATTTCCTATTCCTTACTTAATTCTATATAATTACTTTGCAACTATTATCCACATAATTGCTTTTTAATTCCCAGCAATTATTTTCTACCTGGCCATAAACTTTTATTAGGAAAACCAAAACCCAGAAAGGTAGACCTTGTGTCTCCATTGCATTTTCCCATAAGTAGTTTCTTAAGAGGATAGGGTCTGCATTTTCTTCTCTTAAACTAAACCTGCAGGATGAAAAAAAAGTTGTAAAGTTTTCCTAATCATCCCTTTCCTGGAAAACAAAAACGTTTGAGGGTTAGAGTTACTGTAATTCAAGGTTTATTGAGTTCTTGACCTGAATGCTGTAAAACCATGTATAGGTAATGAGCCCTAACACGTGGTTGCTTTTTTTTTTTTTCACCAATATTTATTAAGCATCTGTTATTCTTAGGACATATAAAGATAAATAAGAAGTTTACAACTTATCTGTTAGGAGAAGGCTTATATCAACATTTAAAAAATCACATCAAAGTTAAACGCTAGTGCAAGGACAACAGCTGTCATAAAGCAGACATAACTTGAGGACAAATGAGTGGTATAGATATTAGTACTGGAAGCTGGAGAAGAGCAAAAATAATAATAAATATCAATGTTCTGCTACATATCAGGAAGGGCTAAGCACTTTAGGTAGGCATCTCCTGTGCCTTCAAAACAGCCCCATGAAGTGGTAGTACACTGTCCATTATACAGATGGGGAAAGAAAAATCACTAAGGAACTTCCGAAGAATTACAATCAGCATGGCCAGGATTTGAACCCAAATCCAGGTTGCTTCAAAGCCAGTTCCTTTTTCAGTGTGTTCTAGGAAGTCACAGGTTGGGGTGGTCGGTGACAGCTTCTCAGAGCAGGGAAGACTCAGATTGAACCTTGAGACATTATAATTGCAGATAAAATAGGGAACTTATTCCTGGGGGCCAAAGAGGAAAAGACAGGAAAAGAACTCCGGAGATGAATGTAGGAGTTGCTAGTAAAGGGCATAAGAAAGGTCACAAAGCATTCCAGGAAGCTGTGAGGCACAACAGGTCATATGACCTGAGAAACGTTTCTCAATTCAGTGAGCCTTCGTCGCAGACAGTGAGAGGCAGTGCTGTAGCTGAGGTGGTGCTCAGCAGATGCTGGAAGAAGAGAAAGGATTAAGTCACATTACTATGGAAATCATTTCCAGTTTTAGAACCATTAAAGCTGAACTTCTGTTCTCCCCACCTTTCTATATCCTCTTGAAGCCTGCAATATCCTGAAGCTACTCTTCTGCTGTAGTATAAACTTATTCTAGAGAATAAGAGCCGTGACTGATTAAAAGTTTAATTGCAAACAGTGGTAGCTGCCTGACAGCCGTGGTAAGTACCAGGGTCTGTGGGGCTCACCTACGCTACCCCCTGATTGAAATAGAGGTCAATATTCTCGCCAATTACTAGGAGAACTCATAAACTAAAAGTTTTAGAAATCCCTTTCAACTGCTCTGAATCTTCATCCTACTCTTGTCTTTGGTATTCATTTTCTAATGCCTTGGTTTCTTGGCTCCTGTTTCCTTAAAACAATCCCCAACGTGGCAAGGTTTCTGCATGAGCTCCTCAAGGAATCCCCATGTTTTCATGGGCTCATCATTTTAAAAACATTCTTGTGTGTCACGTGCTGCAGCCATTAAGATGAAAATATTCTCCCTCCATTTATAAATAGCTCAGAGTCTAAGTAGGAAAGAAAGACAAGCAATTATAGTATTTAATGGTAAGTACTATAATAAATGCCGTGGTTATCTATTCCTGTGTAACAGCGAATCCAAAACCCAATGGCTTGAAACAACAACTATTGGATTGTTCTTGATTCAGGCAGGGGCTGCTAGGGATTGCCCTTCTCTGCTCCATGTGGTGTTTGCTGCAGATCAACTTGCCTGAGCATCCAAGATGACCCCATTCACATGTCCCAGACCTTGGTACCAGCTGTTGTCCAAAGCACCTTGTGTCTACTTCACCAGGACACACTCTGCATGTGGTCTCATTATTCTGCAGAGTAGCCCAGGCTTTTTTACAGGATGACTGGCTTCTAAGAGAGTAAAAATAGAAACTACAAGACCTCTTTTATGTTCTAGGGACATTTCTGCTACATTCTGCAGACAAAGCCAGTCATAGTCCAGCTAAGATGCAAGGGGAGGAGAAACAGATGCTGTTTTTTTCATGAGAGAAGCTGCAAAGTCACATTGAAAAAGGTTGTAAGGGATTGGAGAGATTATTGTGACCATCTTTGGAAATAGTCCACCACAATAGAAATATATGGACCTTGCATGGGAACACAGAACAATGTGTAACTGACCTACGCTGGGAAGACAACTTTCTTCAGAGAGACATTTGACCCAAGTCTTGAAAGCAGAGTAGCCAGGCGTACAG